CAAGATGGCTTGAAGAGGAGCCTCGGGCAGGCAGAATCATCCAAAGGCCAAGGAAATGTCGGCCGCGGCCGTCTTGGCTCCAGCTTGGCGCCGAGCCACAACCGCTCACCCTGAGGGCCAGGTGTCCTGTTGGACGCCGTGATCGCCTGTCCTCCATGCCGCGGCGGGCAGGGACGACGGCAGCCGCGCCGAAGGTCCCGCGGGGCCCCCGAGAGCATGCTCCTCCTGCCGCGCGCAGCCGGCGCCCGCCGGCGCCCGGAGCTGCAGGGCGCGCCAAGCTCCCGGGGCCAGCCGACCTGGGCGGGAGGCTGGTCATCCGGAACACCTTCATCGAGTACCAGGATCGGGTCGAATGGAGGGGGAGGGGAGGGAGAGGAGGACTTGTGGGTAACAGCGGATGCTGGTCCACCAGCGGGTGCGCATTCATCACATCATGTTCATTCATCGCTGATCTCGGACTCGACGTCGCTCCCCGGACAGCTCTCGGCGACGGCAACCAGGTAGTTGTCCAGCTCGGCCCGCGAGGCCGGAAGAAGCCAGAAAGGGCCCCAGTGGGGCCTCGGTCGGACCCCGAGGGCCGCCCTGAGAAGATAGTCGGCCGCCTCGGCCAGCCGGAACTCCCACGAGTGAATGATCACGGCCAGGCTGCGGCCGCCACGCTTGGTGTGGCCACCCCGGGCCACCATGCGAGGATGGAGGGGGTATGTGTTTTTCTTCCACCTCACTTGAGCCAAAAACCCACAGACACCTACATGGAGAGCCACTTGCATGCAGGCGTGGGGTCGCACCGCATTTGATCGGCTCTCCGCTCCCAGGCTCATGCAGGCGTAGGGTCGCACCGCATTCCCCTGAGAGCCGCGCACACTCCTATGCTACACTGCTGCTGACTTCTATATCCAACAGTGCAGAAGCAACGGAAATGTCACGAATTTCGGTGCCAGCCATCCCGACCGGGTTAACGTCACCGCACAATAGCAGACAAGACGGGCATTCCAACGTGCTCCGGAAACGCTGTTCCGGAGCACGTTCCAGCGTGTTCCGGAAACGCTGTTCCGGAACACGCTGGGCGGACAGGCAGGGAGAGGTATTTGGAACAGGCGTTAAAATTGTTAAGGGATTCGTCGGAAGCTCCCCCGATTCACGGAGGAGGGGGAGGGGGAGGGGGAGGGGGAGGGGGAGGGGGAGGGGGAGGGGGAGGAGGGGGGGGGGAGGGGGGAGGGGACGCCGACGCCGACTACAAGGAAGGCGACGACGACCACGACTGTGAGAGCAACGTCGACCGTGATCAGCGGATCGGGTGGGCGGACCCCAGCGGGCGGGTCGGTCGGGCGGACCCTGACGGGCGAGTCGGGCGGGCAGGTCCTAGGCCCTAGAAGGAGGGCGGGTCGGACGGTACGAAATCTGCAGCGCGCAGCTGGTTTCGGCCCTGCCACCAGGCGCACTTCTCGACGCAGTAGCCGGGAGAGGCGGCAACTCCTTTTCATTGAGCCCCATGTTGCCCGCATCGGCAGGAGCTGGAGCAGGGCGACATGTCCCAGCAGCTGCTGCGCGCCTCGTCGTCGGCGCCGGCGTTGCTGCCCCCGCCAGCGGGTCGCCTCGAGGTGCCGAGCGGCGTCGCGGGCGCCGAGTGGCGTACCAGCGTGCTGTTCCGCAACGTGCCCTACGCGATCACGCAGGACATGTTCGTGGAGCTCCTGGCTTCGAAGGGCTTCGGCGGGAAGATTGATTTGGTGTACTTGCCCATGGATTTCAAGAAGAGTCAGACGCTCGGCTACGCGTTCGCCAACGCCATAAGTAGCGAGGTCGCCGTCCGATTGTTTGACGTCTTCGAGGGCTTCCAGGCGTGGCCCAAGAAGAAAGGCGTGAAGGCGTGCAACGTGTGTTGGAGCAGCCGGCAGGGCTTTGAGACGAATTTCCGCGCCTACTGCAATTCGACGGTCATGAAGACGAACGTCCCTGAGTCTTGGAAGCCGGCTCTCTTCCGGCAGGGCATCCGTGTGCCATTCCCCGCGCCAACTAGCAGGGTCAAGAAAGAGTGGCTCAAATAAGAAGAAGAAGAAGAAGCAATGCAGTGGTGACAGCGCCGCGGCACGGCTCCGAAAGCTGCGCTGCAGGGATGACCATCAGCAGTATGGCGAGGCTTGGCCCGTGGCCGAAGGAGGGGGAGGGGGAGGAAGGGGGAATGCGGGGTGGGGGGGATGGAGGAGGGAGAGGCCGCTCAGCCTGAAAGCAAATTTTTTGCCGTTGGTTTGACTTCGCGTGCTTAGCGCGAAGACGAATGCGATCCATCGGCCCATGATTTGGGAGGCGGTGGGAAGGGAGGGGGCCGCACCAGAGGGTGCACTGCGGCATCTTCGGTCCCGCCTCTCCCAGCCCTAGCATTAAGTCGGGCCTGTCCCTCTACAGGGGGAATATCCAAACATAGTTTTATATATATATATGTAAAGTCTGGGGACTTTTATTAGAGTATTGTTTGACCATTTTGGAGCATGTTTGAAGTATGTTTTATTTTTCGTCGCAAATCCCCCTGTAGGGGGACACGCCCGACTTAACCCTGGCATCTGCGAAGCAGCTGGAGACTACAGCTGCTCCGAGCTGCAGCGGGCCCCCGCGGGAGCCTGCGGCCGGCCCACGGAGGGCCCCGAGCCTGCACCCGCAGGTGCCTCGGCGCTCGTGCAGCAGATGGGGCAAGACAAGACGCTTGCCTGAAAGCTCAAGTCGGGCCTGTCCCTCTACAGGGGGAATAGCCAGAAGTAGTCAAAAAATAATCTGGGGACTGTGTTTTCAATTATTGGTTGACCATTTTGGAGCATTGTTTGAGTATTTTTTTATGTTTCGTCGAAACCCCCCTGTAGGGGGACACGCCCGACTTAACTGAAAGCCCATCCCCCTTCCACCTGATTTTCCATGTTCAGGCGCAGGCTTTGAGTGGCCACGTTCCTGTAGCGCCTCTTTGTTTGCTCTCCTCGTTCCCGCATCCTTTGGTCCGTGCGATTCGGCGCGAGGCTGCAACGCAGCTGCAAGCCCAAAGGCCCACCGCGATCCTCGGCGGCTGCCGTCGTCGCAATCCGAATGTTCGACTACATGTTCAGAGTACGCGAGTCGCTCTGAAAGAGACTCTCGCAGAGTTGTTCCATCTATCTGCGCCGAAAATGCGAAAAAGAGCTCTTCATGTTTGGAAAGTGTTTCGCGCTCTCCGCTTTTCCTGCGATGATGAATCCAATAGCGCTAGAAAGGGGCATGACAAGGTGCAAAAAGTCCTCGAAGAGGACCCCACGAGGCCCTGTGAACGCCCCCAAGAGGCTCCCAAGACGCCCCAGGCAGCCCTCGGAGAGGCCTCAAAGAGACTTTTGAGTATCCCAGGCGCCCCAAGCGACACCTCAGAGCCCCCCAAAAAACCCGTAAGGCTCCCAAGAGGCGGGCAACCTGCCTCCCAGAGGCCTGGAAAAAGGAGCCTCAGACGCCCACGAGAGATTTCCAGAAATGCAGCAGAAGCCCCATCGTTTCGATACACCTGGCCGAGTGCCCCGCGATGTTGTCCTTACACTTGAACGCGCAGCATTCGGAGACTTGTGAAATCCTCACATGTCTCTGTTTGTGCCACTTGTTTCTGGCGCCACGACTTTTTGGAAATCCGCAGGGCCCACAATTTTATCCCCGTACGGTCAAGAGTTCCCAGGAAGCCCCACAGCAAAACTCTCAAATGGCTCCGAAAGGGCTCCCAGAAAGGCAGCAACTGCGTTCGGACAACACCAACGAAAAAAAAAAGCAGGAGGAGGAGAAGGAGGACGGGATAGCAGATTCTGATCAGCAACATGTTCTTGGCATCTCCGTCCTCATCTTCGTGCTCCGTCGCTAGTCCCATCGCGTGTGCTCCCTCAGCATTCGTCCCCCCGACCTAGCCAGCGTGGACGCCAAACAGTGTGTTTCTGGCAGCATGTGTCATGCAATCTAGGTGGGGCACTCTATGTTGTGCAATCTATGTTGTGCAACGCAGGTTGTGCAATATATATATATATATATATATATATATACACACCGGGGAACGGGACCTGGGGCCGCCAGTTTGGTGCCTCGGACCCCCACGGGGGCCACGGGGTTCCAGGACGCCCCCGGGAGCCCGAACCTCGACCACAAATGTGGAGCCCGGGGCCCGGGCCGCCTCTGAGAGGGCTGAAATCGCCGTCGGAAGCCCTCAGACAGCCGTCCCGGCAGCCCTGGACGTTCTCGACAAGTTCCCAAGACGCTTCAAGATGCCGCCTAGAGCGGCCCGAGAGGCCAAAACCGTTGATTTTATTTAGTTTTTTCAATGTTTTTGGCTTTCTCCCTGTTTCGGCTTTCCGACGCTCCTCGACCGGCCCAGGACTCCCCAGACTGCTCCCAGACAGGCCAAGACACCCCCAAGAGAGGCCGAAGCCGGCCCAAGAGAGCTTAAGAATGTCTCCAGGCCCGCCCAAAACAGCCCAAAAGAGCTCCAAGAAAGCGCCAACAGCGGCCCAAGAGAGGGAACACGCACTGAACAGTCGAGCTCTCCGCTCCAAGGTGCTCCCGGGAAACCCTCAGAGTCCCCGAAGACAGCCCAGAAGATTACCAAGAGGCCCCCAAAAGGCCCAGAAGAGGCCTCCAGAGGCTCCACAACGGCCTCCGAGAGGCTTCACAACTGCCTACCCAGGTCCCCCAAACATGCTCCGGAAACGCGCTGCCGGAGCACGTTGCCGCCTCTCCTTCCAGCGTTCGGTCTCGCGTGTCCGAGAGCCACTGTCGTCCAGCCCCGTCGCCGTCTTATATATATATATATATACACACACACATATACACATATCTATATATATATATATTCAAATATACATATACATATACGTATACATATATATAGATATATAGATATAGATACAGATACATATACATACATATATATATATATATATATATATATATATATATATAGTGTGTGTATAATATATATATATATATATATATATATAACCCCGGGGGAGCAGGCCCGGGGCCGGAAAACAGCTGCCTCGACCCTCCATGGGGATACCAGGGCTCATTTTCCATGTGTTTTTGCCGTGTTTCCGCGTCCTGGGCCTCAGAGGCCGCCGCCTCCGACCCCCCATGGGAGGACGGGGCGCCCGGGGAGGTCCAAAATAGCCCAGGAGGGCCTCCAGCGGCTCCCAAGACGGCCCAAGCGGGCCCCGAGTCGCCGAAAGACCGCTCCAGGACGCCCCAGATAGGCCCAAGACGGCCCGAGTGGCCCCCCAAGGCACTCCACGACGCTTCAAGACGCCTCTCCAGAGCGCTTCAAGAGGCCGAAATCGTCAATGTTACGAAGGTTTTCGAACGATTTTGGCCTTCCAGCCTTTTCGGCTGTCCGACGTTCCAAGACGGCTCAATGGGCCTCCAAGAGCGCCCCAAGACGGCCCAAGAGGGCCCCAAGACGGCCCCAGAATCGCCCAAGACAGCCCAACAGAGCCCCAAGACGGCCCCAACATGCGCCCAAGAGGGGGACCACGACTCCAAAATTCGACCCTCCCGCTTGAAGAGTGCCCCAGGAGGCCCCATGGAGCCCCTAAGAGGCCCCAGGAGGCCCCCAAGCGGCACCCAGGAAGCTCAAACGAGGCCTAAAGAGGCCTCAAAACAGCCCCGAGGAGGCCCCACCACGGTCTCAAAACGGCTACCGAGAAGCTGCGAAACTGCCTTCACGACGTCCCCGACAGGCCAACCACGAGATCCCAACCAACACCCATGAGGCCTCTGACCCACCACCCAGGGCACGGTGGCGGCAGCAGTGACAGCACTTGTGCACAGCATGTTCCAGCGGGAGCTTTCCGGAACACGCTGCAGGAGGAGGAATATCAGGAGTAGAGAGAGCTGGAGTGGGAGGAGGAGGAGGGGGACGAGGAAGAGGAAGAGGCTTCCAAGACAGCTCCAAGATAGCCGAAGAGGCTTCCAACAGGGCCCTGGGCGGCCCACGAGGGCCCCAAGGCGGTGCCTGAGGCGCCCAAGACGGCCCGAGAGGGCCCCAAGACGGCCCCAAGAGAGGCCCAAGCAGGGAAACACGAACCGAGAATCCCAGCTTTCTACCCCGAGAGGTTCTCGGGAAGTCCCAAGAGGCCCCCAATCGGATCCAAGAGGCCCCCAAGAAGCTCCCAAGAGGGCCGACGAGGTTCTAAGAGATCTCCCAAGGTGGCCCCAAGCGGCACAACTCATTGTTTTACGATTGGGCTTTGATGGGCTTTAATTTTGGTCTGCCTTTTGGCATCCCGATGCTCCAAGACGGCCCAAGAGGCTTCCAATACCGCTCCAATATAGAGGAAGAGGCCTCCAAGAGGGCCACAAGACGGCCCGCGATGGCCCCAAGACGGTGCTTGAGGCGCCCAAGACAGCCCGAGAGGGCCCCAATAGCCCCAAGAGAGGCCCAAGAAGGGGAACGCGACCCAACAGCAGAGCGTCCCCCCCAAAAGGCCCACAGGAGGCCGCCAGAGGCCCCCAAGTGGTCCGACGAGGACCCCAAAAGCTTCCCGAGGGCCCAAGAGGCCTCTAGGATACATCCAAGAGGTTTTAAATAGCCCAAGAGTGCCCTCGATGCGTCTACCGAGAAGCTAAACTGCCTTCACGACATCCCCGACAGGCCAACCACGAGATCCCAACCAACACCCATGAGGCCTCTGACCCACCACCCAGGGCACGGTGGCGGGAGCAGTGACAGCACTTGTGCACAGCATGTTCCGGCGGGAGCCTTCGGGAACACGCTGCAGGAGGAGGAGGAGGAAGATCAGGAGGAGAGAGAGAGCTGGAGTGGGAGGAGGAGGAGGGGGACGAGGAGAAGGAAGAGGCCTCCAAGACAGACAGCTCCAAGATAGCCGAAGAGGCTTCCAAGAGGGCCCTGGGCGGCCCACGAGGGCCCCAAGGCGGTGCCTTCAGGCGCCCAAGACGGCCCGAGAGGGCCCCAAGACGGCCCCAAGAGAGGCCCACGAAGGGAAACACGAACCGAGAATCCGAGCTTTCTACCCCCAGAGGTTCTCGGGAAGTCCCAAGAGGCCCACAATCGGATCCAAGAGGTCCCCAAGAAGCTCCCAAGAGGGCCGACGAGGTTCCAAGAGATCTCCCAAGGTGGCCCCAAGAGGCACAACTCATTGTTTTACGATTGGGCTTTGATTGGCTTTAATTTTTGTCTGCCTTTTGGCATCCCGATGCTCCAAGACGGCCCAAGAGGCTTCCAATACCGCTCCAATATAGAGGAAGAGGCCTCCAAGAGGCCCCAAGACGGCCCGCGAGGGCTCCAAGACGGTGCTTGAGGCGCCCAAGACGGCCCGAGAGGGCCCCAAGAGCCCCAAGAGAGGCCCAAGAAGGGGGACGCGACCCAACAGCAGAGCGTCCCCCCCAAAAGGCCCACAGGAGGCCGCAAGAGGCCCCCAAGTGGTCCGACGAGGACCCCAAAAGCTTCCCGAGAGCCCAAAAGGCTCCTAGGAGACGTCCAAGAGGTTTTAAAATAGCCCAAGAGTGCCCTCGATGCGTCAAAACTGCTTCCAGGAGGCCCCCGGGAGGCTTCCGGATTGCCTCAATCTGGCCGCAGGTGGCCCCAAGTCGGGCCTCCACGCAGCCAAGACGGCCAATGACGGCTTCAGATGGCAGAACCGATGCCCCCAATCGACCCTCAGACGCCCCCCCAAGAGGCACTCAAGAGGTGCCTCCAACAGCCAGTTGACGAAGCATGCGGAACACCCCAGAAGCTCCTCAGATGCCGTCGCGCGCCTGTGCTTGATAGCGTTGTCCAAGATCGTTCAGCGCCCCCCCCCGGCCTGGGCTAGAACCATCGCGCGCGCGAAGCGCGCTCGATGGTTCTAGTGTATATATATATATATATAAAAAAAAATATGTGTGGTGCAATCTATGTGGTGGAATGCACCCTGCCGACAGTGGAGTTGTTAACTCCGCTGCTTGCGCACCCATCACACCCGCCCACCAGCAACTTGGTTTGCAAAACCTTGGGCCGTCTTGAGTTCATCGTAGACTGTCTTTGGACCCTCGTGGGCCGCCTCGGAACTCTCCAGGACCGTTTTGGGCGCTTCTCGGAAGACTCTCGGCCATTTTAGGGTGTTGTCGAAGGCAGGCTCACCGTCACAGAGGCCCCAGAAGGGCCCAGCAGTGCTTGGTAAGTCCGGGAAATTCGTGGCCGGGCCCTGACGAACCGACACCCCCACGAATGCATGCAAAGGTATGGTCCTTTGGGGCGCGGTGTTACACTGAGTGTTGAAGGCACGGTGGCGGATTGATTCATGCATCGTGGTAGTGCTTGCACTGACGACAAAGATGGGGCCCGACACGAAAAAGTAGCATGCTCGCAGCCGTATCCATCAGGAGCACCCGTGCTGCAGTCAGGGGCGAGCTGGAAGCCAATAGCTGGCGCTGCTTGGGTCGGGCCCTCGAGCCACTGCAGCTCGTGCTCCTCAAGGATCTTGGTATCGCTCGGACGTCTGTATTTAATCCCTGCGAGAGCCATCGAGGAGCAGTTTGGGTCATCTAGTGGAAAAATCAAAAGAACAACAAAAAAAAAAAAAAAAAAAAAAAAAAAAAACGCACGAAACCGACAGAGTGCACGAGAGATGGACGTCCGAGCGACGGCGGGTCTTGGGGCACTGCGGGAGTTGATGCTTCGAATGGCCACGCTCGAGCCCGCAATCGAGGTCTGATTCGACTGATATCCTGCAGCACTCGATCAAGAGTGGGTCCAAGTGCACTGCGTGGGGAAAAGAATCGGATATCGAGCGGGCCTTTTTGCGAAGTGCTTCTCCAGCGATCGACTAACGAGCGACCTTGACGTCTAAAAAACCATGGGGTAACCCAGGTTTGCCGAGGCGGGCTTCAGGATGGTACGGTTTTTGTCTGTTTGGGGGTGCAAGACGTGAGGAAAAGTTGTTGGCGCTTCGCGTATCCTCACCATTCCGTAGCCTTTGGCTACAAAAAAAAAAAAAACAAAAACAAAAAAAAACTCACCATTCCGTAGCCTTTGGCTCAAGCCGTCTCGGCTCGAGCCCGCCCTTTGCTCAGGTTCGGCGTTCGGGCCTGGGTGATGGAGACTGCGGCAGCGCGGCGGCGCCGGCAGATGCGCGCAGCTTCCCAGCGCCGTTTGGAAGCTGCTGCCACGGCCTGTGTCTGCCCGCCGGGGCTCCCCAGCGCGGCCAACGCGACGAGCGCTGCTGGCGCGGCAGACGCGACCGCTCCCCGCGGCGCGTCCGCCGCGGCGAGCGCAGCCAACGCCGCTGGCGCCGCTGGCTTGGGCTGCCCCGCCGCGGCCTCCGCCGCCAGCGCCCTCCGGGCGGCTGGTGCGGCCAGGGCGGCAAACGCGCGCACCCCCGCCAGCGCCGCGGACGCTGCCGACGCCCTCGGGCGAGACGGCGCGGTCCGTGCTCGCTGGCCCGCGGCCGGCACCACCTGCACCACCGGCGCTGCCGACGCTTCCCGCGTCCGCGCCGCCAGCGTTGCGCCCGACGCAGCTGCCGCTGCCGCCGCCATTGCCTGCGCTGCTGCCGCCGCGAGGGCTTCGCAGGCCTTCCTCTGGACGGCCGTCGTGGATCTGGCCCAGGCTGCTAGGCGCGCGGCGGACGCCGTTGCGAACGCGTTCCCTGGGCACAGAGCGGACTCGCTTGGAGACAGTCACACATCTGAGGTTGGCGCTTCGCTCGACGACCGTTGCAAATTTGAAGGTGGCGTTTCGCTTGCAGACAATCGCCAATCTGCGGATATCTTGGACTTCGCATCTCACCGCGCGGCCGTTAGCTGCAGCAGTCGCCAAGGAGAGCTGCAGACAGAACAGGCGGTTGTCAGCCACAGCGGGTCGGTCCTTCCCTCTCCTGGAGGCAGGCAAACAGGCGCCCCTCCAGCTACTCACTCCTATCAGCGTCCCAGGCACAGTGTCTTCGTGGAGGCCGACGATGCGCCCGAAAGCGCGCCCCTTTTTGGAAACGCGGCGAGAGTTCGGCTTGCTGCAGGGGGCGAGCACGCGCTCGAAGACGTTCCTCACAAGTCGGGCAGTCAGGAGCTCGTTTCTGAAAGTGCGGCCGTGAGCTGCAACAGTCCGCAAAGAGAACTCCAGACCGAACAGGGTTTCGTTTGCCACGGCGTGCCAGTCCCATCTTCTCCTCGAAATAAGCAAACCGTCATCCCTGCTGCTTCTCACTCCTATCAGCGCCATCGGGGCAGCGTCGTTGCGGAGAGAAGATGCGACCCGAAACTCGCCCCCCCCTGGAGACGGCACCGCGGCGATGGGCGAGGGCGCTGCAGAGGGCGCGCCCGCGCTCGGAGACATTCCCCACAATTCTGACAGCGAGGACTTTGTTTCCGAAAGCACGGCCGTCAGCTGCAACAGTCCGCAAAGAGAATTCCAGACCGAACAGGGCGTCGCCAGCCGCAGCGCGCCGTTCCCCCCTCTCCTGGAGGCAGGCAGGCGGACCCCAATAGTGTTCCTCACTCTTACCAGCGCCCCTGGGGCAGCATCGTTATGGAGACAGGAGATGCGACCCGAAGCGCGCCCCCTCCTGGAGACAGCGCCGCGGCGACAATTGGGGGCGCTGCAGAGGGCCCGCCCGCTCTCGGAAACGTTCCTCACAATTCAGACACTCAGGAATTTGCATCCGACAGCGCGGCCTTCCGCTACAAAAGTATTATGGGGGAGCTCGAAACTGATCAGGCGGTCGTCTGCCACGGCGCGCCGGCCCCTCCCCCTCCCGAGGACAGGCAAACGGACGCCCATAGTGCTCCTCATTCCCATCGGCGCCATGGGGGCAGCTTCGCGGAGGAATCCGAAAATGCGCTCGAAAACGCGCCCCCTCCTGGAGACAGCATCGCGGCGATAGTTGGCAGCGCTGCAGAGGGCGCGCCCGCGCTCGGAGACGTTCCTCGCAAAATAGAAGGCCGGGAGCTCGCATCCGAAAGTACGGCCTTCAGCTGCAACAGGCCTCTGGGAGAGCTTCAGACTGAACGCGCGGTTGTCTGCCACGGCGTGCCGGCCCCTCCCCTTCCTCGTCATAGGCGGATCGCCCTCCTTGCTGCCCCTCGCTCCTATCAGCGCAATTGGGGCAGCGTCGGTGCGGGGGCTGCAGATGCGACCCGAAGCGCGCCCCCTCCTGGAAATATTGCCACGGGGACAATTAGGGGCGCTGCTGAGGGCGCGCCCGCGCTCGGAGATGCTCCTCCAGAGGGCGCGCCCGCGCTCGGAGACGCTCCTGACAGCTCAGACAGTCACGAGCTTATATCCGAAAGCGCAGCCTGCAGCTGCAACGGTCCTCTTTGGAGCGCCACAGACCGATCACGCGGCTGTCAGCCACCGCGCATCTACGTCTCCACCCCCTGGAGACGGGCAGGCGGACCCCCATAGCACCCCTCGCTCCTATCAGCGCCCTTGGGGCAGGTTCGCGGAGGAACCCAGAAATGCCGTCGAAAGCGCGCTCCCGCCTGGAGACAGCAACGCGGCGATAACTGGGGGCGCCGCAGAGGGCCCGCCCGCGCTCGAAGAAGCCCCCCCCCATTTCAGACACTCAAGAATTTGCATCCGAGAGCGCGGCCTTCAGCTGCAAGAGTCCTCTGCGGGAGCTCGAGACTGATCAGGCGGTCGTTTGCCACGGCGCGTCGGCCCCCCCCCTCCTGGAGACCGGCAGGCGGACCCCCATAGCGCCCTTCACTCCTATCAGCGCCCCTGGGGCAGGTTCGCGGAGGAGGCCGGAAGTGCGTTCGAAAGCGCGCCCCCTCCCGGAGACAGCATCGAGGCGATGGTTGGGGGTGCCCGGGGCGCTGCAGAGGGCGCGCCCGCATTCGGAGACGCCCCTCACAATCGTGACAGTCGGGACTTTGCTTCCGATAGTGCACCCTTCAACTCAGTCCTCTGGTGGCGCAACAAACCGAGCACGTGGTCGTCAGCCACAGCGCGTCGGCCCCCGCCCTTCCCGGAGACCGGAAGGCGGACCCCCGCAGCACTCCTCACCCCCATCAGCGCCCCTGGCCCCGGGGCAGCTTCGCGGGCGAGGCCGGAGATGCGCTCGAAAGCGCGCCCCCTCCTGGAGACAGCATCGCGGCGGCATTGGGGAGCACTTCAGGGCGCGCGCGCCCGCGCTCGGAGACGTTCCTCACGACATAGAGGCTCAGGAGCTAACATCTGAAAGCGCAGCCGTTAGCTGCAACAGCCCTCTGGGGAGCTTCAGACTGATCAGGCGGTCGCCAGCCACAGCGCGTCGGCCCGCCCCCCTCCTGGACACGGGCGGACCGGCGCCCCCGCAACTCCTCGCTCCTATCAGCGCCCGGGAAGCAGCGTCTTAGTGAAGGCCGAACATGCGCCCCCTCCCGGAGACAGCATCGCGGCGACATCTCGGACTGCCGCAAAGGGCGCGCCCGAGATCGGAGACCCTCCGCGCGACCCAGGGCGCTGACGACCGGATGGCGCGCCGGACTTCTGGCTGCGCGCGCGGGCTACAGACGGGCGCGTCTTCGCGATCGGCGCAGACGCTCTGGCCGACGCCTCCGAAGCCCCCACCCCCGTGGCTGACGGCTATTATGGCACCCACTACCTGGAAAATCTGGGGCCGTCGTTGCCCCCAGTCGACGGCGAGACCCTGCGACGCCCAGCTGTGACTCCGCCCGCAGTCGCCCATGGCGCGTTCGAACACCCCCCGCTGGGGGACCACGGACCAGCCCTGCAGAGGCAGGACATCGAAGCCATCCGCCAGCTCGTCGACAGAAGTCCCTTCGCGCCCATTCGCCCTCCTTCCCCTGTCAGTGAATCCACCCGAGTGGATGGCGAACCTCACCCTCGCCCTCCAGAAGCCCGGGCCACGCCAGAGAAGGAGACTTATGATCTGGCGACAGAAACGGCGTCGGCGAACGCGCATGCACCTGGTGCGACCGACGGTACTCCCACATCTGGCGATAGCGCGGCGGCAGATGGGGGCGCGCCCGTGAGCGAGGGCGGGCACGGGCCCGAAGGCGAACGCCGGCGAAATGGGCCTGTCCCCGCGCACTTCAGTGCAACGTTCCTGTCTGCCCGCGCTGCCAGAGGCGATCCAGGCCCCTGCCTGGCGGCCAACTGCGTGGCCCACACCAACCCGCACGGCCCCGCCAGGCGCCCCTGCCCCAGCTGCCGCCGCGCCGCTCGACGCCATGTGCGGCTCTTGCGGCGGGCCCAACCCATCGGAACTGTCGCAAACAGAGCTCGAACGCTCTGTCGAGGACAGCGGGGCTGGTTCGCCGGACACCTACGACCAGAACGCGTGGCAGCGCAGACAGCCGGACCAGGGGCGGGCGCAACCGAGTAGAGAACCAGGGCAGCATGC